TTTCTAAATACCATTATCCATTAAAAGCAGCCAGGGGCCCTTGGAGAAATGGCCTATTCTAAAGTCGGGACAGGGAAAATACAAGATGAGTCTGGAGCATCTTGTAGTATCAGAAAGTCAGAGAGTGCTCAAAAAATAAAAGGATAGGGCATGCAAAAGGGACACCTTAAAGAATTCCCAGTGGATAAAGAACAATTTGAGCAACAAAATAAATAACACGTTACTGGATTACAACAGTATAAAATATACGTGACTTATTACCGACCAAAAAATATGACTAAATGGGGTGATGAAATAAATCCTTATAGAAAAAGTCCAAGTATTGTAGATATCCCACCCACAGGTCGCCTTTTGAGTGCAAGCTGAACTTAGTGACTCACTTCTAGAAAGCAGAGTATAGAAGGGGAAAAAGAGTAACTTTAAAGTGGAGAAACTGGCAAATACTGACCACCTTCACCAAGTGATTAAGGTTAGCATCACTAGTGATGTCCTGTGGTTACCATGTACTGGTTAAAATGATTTGATGAGAAGGGCACTCCACCACTGTAGTATTCTTTCCAAACACCCATAACCTCAGTCTAACCATGAGAAAAACATCAAATGAGCCCAATTTGAGGGACATTCTACAAAATAACTGACCATATTCCAAAAAACTGACAGGGCCACAAAGAGCAAAGACTGAGAAACTGTCACATATCAGAGAAGACTACAGAGAATGACATTTATGTGCAATGTGGGATCCTGAATTGGATCCTTGAACAGAAAAAGGACTTTAGTGGAAAAACTGGTGAAATCCAAGTAAAATTTGGTACATTAATAATAACATATGAATATTGGGTCTGATAAATTGTACCATGGTAATGTAATGAGTGGTAATAAAACTGGATGAGGGGTGTACAGGAATTCTTCATACTATCTGCATATTTTCTATAAATCTACAATTATTAAAAAACAAAATGTTTATTTTTAAAAAAATAATTTTCAAAACAGTTCCCCCACAACTATAGAATACATATTTTCCTCAAATGCAAACAGATTATTCACGAAGGTAAACTATATACTGGCCATAAAACACAGCTTAATAAATTTCAAAAGATCAAAATATTATGGAGTATATTCTCTAACCTCAAGAGAATTAAATTGGAAATCAATAACAGTGAGATATCTAGAAAAGTCTAAATGTTTGGAATTAAACAATGCATTCCTAAGTAACTCATGGATCAAAGAATGAACCAAAATCCAACAGACATTCCTGAAAAAAACTCTCAGCAAACTAGGAACAGAAAGGAACCTTCTCAACTCAGTAAAGGGAATCTACAAAAAAAACTATAGCTTACAACATATTAATGGCAAAAGACTGATGTTCTTCTAAGATTAGGAAGACAGAGATGTCTGTTCTTACTACTTCTATTCAACATCTGCACTGGAAGTTCTAGTTAGTGCAATAAGGTAAGATAAAGAACAAAGGACATTTGGATTGGAAAGGAAGAAGTAAAATTGTCTATATTCACAGATGACCTGATCCTCTAGGTACAAAATCCGAATGGAGTCTATAAAAAAGCTATTGTACAAAGTGAGCTTCACTACAATAACAACTGATATTTGTCACCAATGAAAAATTCAAGCTTTTAAGCATAAATTAGAATTTCAAAAAAATGTGTATCCGCCACCATGAACCCTAGCTTCCCATTAAAAATTTTGGTGATGAGATCAGAGGTAATAATAACAAATACAAGATTAGGTGACGTTGTGTAGCGAAAAATGTCAGCATTTGGCAGGTCTGAAAAACTCAGCAAACCAGTATTTTCCAAATGACCAGTACATGATGTTATAAAATCATGCACCAGGAAAAGATCCATCCAAAGCAGGGGGAAAAAAAATGGATTTTAATGTAACAGTATGGAAAGTTTTTTGATATGGTTTCAGACTCCATATTACAAATCACCTTTAAGAAACTATCACTTGCTGGGCGCCTGGGTGGCTCAGTTGGTTAAGCGACTGCCTTCGGCTCAGGTCATGATCCTGGAGTCCCGGGATCGAGTCCCGCATCGGGCTCCCTGCTC